TCACTGGTAAAAATAAATAATTGAAATGGGTATATATTTGTTTTTTGTTAAGTTGCCTTATAATTATGCACAGTAATAGCCACCTGCACACACAGATATCCCCCTAAAATAGCTAAAACTAAAAACTAACTAAAAACTACTTCCAAAAACATTCAGCTTTGATATTAATGAGTTTTTTGGGTTCATTGAGAACATGGTTGTTGTTCAATAATAACATTATTGCTCAAAAATACAACTTGCCTAATAATTCTGCACTCCCTGTATACACATACATCATACATGTATGTGTATATGTATGGTGACTGCAGTTCACTTCATGGCCTCCAGGGGTTCCCGAGTGTGTTCTGGTGAGATGTCTCACCTGTACGTGTGTGTCTTCTCAGGTGGACAACTCATCAGTGATTGAGATTGACTTCATCCGCTCTGACATCTTTGAGGAAGTCCTGAACTACATGTACACGGCAAAGATCTCTGTGAAGAAGAAGGACGTCAACCTGATGATGTCATCAGGCCAGATCCTCGGCATCCGCTTCCTTGACAAACTCTGCTCTCAGGTAACACACACGGGCGACACACAGACAGGTAATCCACATACAAGTGAAGCGTGTACACAGGTAATGCACATGCAGGTAGCATAAAATGCATGTAACACACAAGCTGGTGACACACACAGGTAACAGGTGTTGGTGGGTGTGTCCTCAGAAGCGAGATGTGTCGTCGGAGGACAAGGAGAAGTTTCCCTATGACATCGTAAAGATGGCGCTGCCGCCTGAGGCTCAGCTGGCCGCCGACTCGGAGGTACGGATTAACCCATTGTTTACCAGTTAACTGTCAGAGCCTGTACTTTGTAATCTGATTACTGTTGTGTGTAGGTGCTTGACGATGACACGTCCGCCACAGATGACCTTGTGGAGCCCTCGGCCAATCCGGAGCTGGAGAAGTCTCCCAGTACAGCGCTGCATGTGCAAGAGGCGATCCTAAAGGAACTGACCAATGAGGATGTGCACAAGGTACGCATACTTACACCTGAGTATTCCTGTATCCACGACGACTGTCACTGACACATCGTCCATCCAGGTAACCTGCTACAACCAGGATGTGGTGACGGAGATGGAGGCGGAGCCTAAAGAGCTTGGAGCGGAGCATCACGCCACACAGACGCTGACCTTCGCGGACAGCATAGGGGAAGTGAAGGACGAGCAGCCGCCAGGCTGGTCAACGGCGACTGCCGACATGAAGTTCGAATACCTGCTGTACGGACACCGCGAGCAGCTCGCCTGCCAGGTGTGTGGGAAGACTTTCTTGGATGAGAGCAGACTCAGGTAAGTACACACCTCAATGATGAAAATGGATCTTGAAGCCACAGGCGAAGGACACATCTGTCTGTCTCTGCTCAGGAAGCACGAGAAGCTTCACTCGGCCGAGCGTCCGTTCGCCTGTGACATTTGCACCAAAGCTTTCACCACCCACGCTCACCTGAAAGGTAACCACACCCACGTACGTTTACTTGCTTCTTACTTCTATGCTCCCTGAGGTCACCCTAACCCTCACCTGTCTGTTCAGAACACCTGAAGATCCACGCAGGTTTCAAACCCTACAGGTGTGACGTGTGTGGGAAATCGTTCATTCGCGCTCCGGACCTGAAGAAACACGAACGAGTTCACAGCAACGAGCGGCCCTTCGCCTGCCAGATGTGCGAAAAGGTGAACTCACCTGTCCTCTCACCTGTGCGCCCATCTTTCCTGTCACCATTGTAACCAGTCTGGCTCTCACCTGTGTGCCTGCAGGCTTTTAAACACAAGTCTCACCTGAAGGATCACGAGAGGAGACACAGAGGAGAGAAACCGTTCGTCTGTCCGTCCTGCACCAAGGCCTTCGCCAAGGTACTGCACTCAGTGTACTGAGTACTACATATGGTATATATAGACAGTACTACACACAGTATATAGACTAGAGATGGCACGATACCACTTTTAATGTCCGACACCGATATCATAAATTTGGATATCGGCCGATACCGATATGAATCCAATATAGTGTTTTTTAATCAATAAAACTCTTTTTTTAATATCTTGCTGCTTTTTGTATAAGTTCATACTCAAGTTTAAATAAACAACAACACTAAAGCTATTCTGTTATACCTGTATGTAAAAAATACACTGCACCCAAAATATTTCATAGTTCAGCAACACTGATCAATCTAATAAACTTAAACCTGCTCCATCCTCCTATTCTGGTATTTTAAAGAGTAAGCAACCAAACTAATAGGGCTCTAAAACATATATCGGTTGTTAAGCGTAACGCTGGAATGCTTTACAAACACTCAGAGATGAACTTACACACTTGCTTTACTTCTCTCTGGGATCACTTCCTCGGAGATGAAATGCTGGTTTGGTAGCAAGGCTACAAATACACACAGCCGCTCTATCAGGTGACCACACTGCTGCGACGTTATGAGCCGAGTTACGCCGTGTCGCAAGTTTTGTTAGGTGCTTTTTTGATATTTAATGGATCGGATTACATTTTTTGTTTCTCTCCGATATCCGATCCAGTAATTTACGTCAGTATTGGACCGATACGTAATATCAGAGCGGTCCATCTCTAGTACATATTATACCATATATATACAGTACTGCAATCAGTATATACACATTGGGGGGCGACCGTGGCTCAGGGGGTTGGGAATCGCATCTGTAACCGGAAGGTCGCCGGTTCGATCCCTGGGCTCTCTGTCCTGGTCGTTGTGTCCCTGGGCAAGACACTTTACCCTACTTGCCTACTGGTGTTGGCCAGAGGGGCCGATGGCGAGATATGGCAGCCTCGCTTCTGTCAGTCTGCCCCAGGGCAGCTGTGGCTACAACTGTGGCTTGCCTCCACCAGTGTATGAATGTGAGAGTGAATGAATAGTGGTATTGTAAAGCGCTTTGGGTGCCTTGAAAAGCGCTATATAAATCCAATCCATTATTATTATTATTATTATAGTACTGTGTGGTCTTCCTAGTTAAAAATAACACAGCATCCTCTTTTGCATTGTGAGCTTCCTCGCCAAACATTATTATGCAGCACCACAGACCAGTCTTCTTTTAGGTGCCCCACTGTTGCCATTCATCAGCTTTCTTAAATGCAGTGCCCCCTGCTGGTCAGCCTTATCATTACATCAACATCTGCATGTCAACACAAGTACTATAACAGAGTATATACAGTACTGCACTAAGTATGTGTAATATTATGCTGTAGTATTACACAGTGTCCGTAGTGCCGGTATGTTTGTGTTGTGGTGCGTTCACTGTCCTTCTGTCATTTCAGGCGTCAGATCTGAAGCGTCATGAGAACAACATGCACAGTGAGAGGAAGCAGCTGAATCCTTTGCAGAGTGACACTGAGACACTGCAGGCTGCTGCCATGGCTGCTGAGGAGCAACATCTGGACTCCATCAGCTGTTCCTAACATCTGGACAGCCCTTTAACCTTTTGTTTTCTCACAAACTTTGAACTGACTTTGGCTGTGTTTGCTAGGAGCCTTTTTTCCTGCATCGAGTTGATGCACGTGAACCCAAGTGTAAGATAAACCGAGCGGTCATGTGATTCACATGTTGTCATGTGACCTCCCTCTGGCTACATGTGTGATTTGTAACCTGGCGTGTTTGTCTTTTCAGTTTGAAGCATAAATTTATAAACTGTGTAAATTATAAACACTTCTGCTCAGTTTCATGAGCAATGACAGAGAGAACAGTTTCAATAAAGATTCAACCTTATCGACATGTTCTCCTAAGGTTATTAGCCCAAAAAGGTTGTTCATCATTGGTCACGTGACCAATTTAAGACAACACAACAACAAGATGCAGCGACCCAGAGTCTCCATTTCCACTTAGGTCGAAAGTGCAGACTTCAAACTATATACCAGTTTTTAAATTGTGTCGATGGGCCACAAAACCAGAGTTATGATTAAAAAATACACGCAATGGTATTTCTGAACAAAAGAGCGGTGTTTACAGCGGGAAGAAACGGCGTTTTCTAAGGACAACGCTAGCAAACACTCTCCGTTTGCAATTGAAAAAAGAAAAAGAAAAAACACCCCTAATTTTTGTTAAAGTTTTCCATGTCAACCAATCAACTTGTTCTGTAAATAGATCTAAATGGTTATATAAAACACGCCTGAAGCCTTGGCTGCATTTTTTGGTGAATAGTACCATATAACTTTGTAGTTTGCAAATCTTGTACATACTTTTTTAGAAATATACAATTTCTAATTGCATTTCAAGTTATGAAAATGATTCATTAAACATGTTTGAGGTTTTTACAGTAAAACATAACTTTTTTCTACTCGGATTTTACATTTTTTGTCTGAATTTAGATTAATTGTGCAAATACAGTATGTCAAAATGAAAAAACAACTCCAATTTCAGATATTTGAGGTTGTGCTGAACATAATGATACCAAACAAGGCAAGATAAACCGTTTTTAAAGTTGAAATATAGAAGTAAAATCAAAAGTAGTCAAAAACGGCTGGTTAAACTCACAGCTGGACTGCTACTTCCTGTTGAACGGTTGCTGCATGAGCTCCACATTAAGGCTCAGTGAATAGTAATGCCTTTTGCGGTATTGCAGTCTTTAGAATTAGTTTTTCCCTTCAGTACAAATCTGCTGGGATAACTGATGATGGAGAAATGCTTTCAGCTGCTGCAGACATCAGTAAATCTGACCTTTGTAAAGAAGGAGACTGATCTTGTTTCTATGACCACCATAAAACAATGGGGTCAGAACACCTAGCGAAATCAGATGTGTGCTTTGTAGTCCATCAACTGGTTTCAACATGGCAGACATCCAGCGTGGCACTGGATGCCACAAAGGTAAGGGCTTTTCTCTTTTCCTAAGACCTTCTCCTACCCACTTTTCCTTGATTTCGATGATGCAGGATCAGGAGACCGGAGTGACTTTTGCAGCTTTGTCTCTTTGTCGAGGGCATGTCTGTCTTCCGTTAACATTGGCTGTATCCTGGTATGCTCAGTGTTTTGCTCATGCACATTCTGGACAAACCTCTGGTCTGACGGTAAACTGATGAGAGAGCGCTGCTGCTGGTCTGCTTTCATTGTTCTGAGATCAGCTAGCAAGAAAACAAATGTCAGTGAAAAATGAGTTTTGTCATGTGGCCGACGTGATGTAAAGATGGGGCACGAATAAGTTTTTAATAACGAGTTTCATACATTAACACGTAAATGTGTGATGTTGACCATCTCTGATCAAAGATGAACCGATGCTGGCGCAGCAGCACTTTCAGCATCTGTGAGAACGTCTGAATGTAACCGGCTGCCATGACAACACTCTAACTTCATTTGAATATTGACCATTAACCATGTCAAGACTGATCACACGTTTTAATTTTTGAATTAATATTTTAATATGCGTTTGTACGTAGATGTAGGCCTGTGGTTCTGTTTTTCGGGGTCCCAACAGGACTCCAAACATATGCTTTATACAGCATCATATTTGATGTATCACATCATGTACTGAAATTAGCTCAACCGCCCCTCCCTGAGCCTGACTCTGCCGGAGGGTTTTGCTCATAGGGCATATGATTGTTGCCACTATTGTTGTGATTTGGCGCTGTATAAATAAAACTGAAGCGAATTGAACTGAATTTTACAACAGAGACTCTAGAGGGACTGATCTACCATCAACAGGTGGGACTGATAGGGTTTGACCTTCAAGGCTACTCAGGTCTGCTTATTTTCTCAGTGTTAGTGAAGAAAACAGCCGGACCATTTGGAAGTAGGATGCTCACCCACACTGGTTCCATCTGAACTCTGGGCAGATGTCATGGGACCGGAGGTTAGGACTTTCAATCAGAGAGGCAGGACAGACTTCCTGTACAGGGGTCGTGGGCCGTGCAGATTGACGAGGGTATGCAGGGAACTTGAATAAATGTTCAGTTTCTATGCTGTACGTCAGAACAAGATCCAGACTGTGATGAAAGTGGTGGCTTTTACATTTTCAGAGAAAAGTCAGCTTTGAGACTAATCATTTTAGTATCTAGATCAGGGGTGTGAAACTCAAATACACAGTGGGCCAAAATTCAAAACTGGAACAAAGTTGCGGGCTAACGTTAATATTTATTGAAATATATTTATTCCTCCAGATATAAGAATGAATCTTTTCTTATGGACTCAAACACGTTTTGCTGAAAAACTGAATATGGAACAAGCAAAGCTTAATACTAAACAATATATACATTAGCTGTATAATATAATATTTGGTATGGCTTCGCGGGCCAAATGTAATTAGGCTGCGGGCCAAATTTGGCCCGCGGGCCAGAGTTTGACACCTATGATCTAGATAATGAAATTGAGTAAGGTGATTGATGGATAACAACGAGTGTAGAGTAATGAGGTGGAATGGAAGATTACTACTGCTGCTCCTCCACAGGAGCAACAATGTGGCCTTGTGAGCTTCTCATTGTCTTTTATTTTGGTGGTTTGGAAGGAAACACAGTCTTTTCTCTCCCAAGAAGACCAGTGTTTCCACAGAAGGTTTCTGAATTATCCAAATTTCCGAATTAAGGACCACATCATTTTTTGGACACCACTCAGACAGACAGCGAATTATGGAGAGCATGTAGGTAAACATGTCACTCCTGGTGCGACTGGGACCAGAGAAAACGAATTAGTAACCCATTAATTCATTATTACCTTTCTAACGTCTGATTGAGAGAACTGATTTTATCTTTAATATATCTTTAAAAATGTGATTTATCCATGAATTTATGATCAGCATTTCATAAAAAACAAAAATCTTTCACTTCCATCTTTTTTAATTCAGGACATTATACACATAAACTGTCATGTGTCCGCTTTAGTGACCAGGATATAAAGAGTCCTTTAAATAAGCTGTCCAAAACTTTCAGGTAAATGGCCTGCATTTGTATAGCGCTTTTATAGTCCCTAAGGACCCCAAAGCGCTTCACACTACATTCAGTCATCCACCCATTCACACACAGGCGTTGTTAAGCTACATTGTTGCCACGGCTGCCCTGGGGCGCACTGACAGAGGCGAGGCTGCCGGACACAGGCGCCACCGGGCCCTCTGACCACCACCAGTAGGCAAACATGGGGTTAGTATCTTGCCCAAGGATATTTGGCATGCAGCCAGGAGGCAGCCTGGGATCGAACCACCGACCTTCCGATTAGTGGCTGACCTGCTCTGCCACTTGAGCAGGTCAGCCAAATGTTAATAAACAGAAGTTTACAAACAGCACAATAAACACTGCTTTGGGCTGATCTGTAAACTCTGTCCTTTTCCAAAAGTCCGGGCTGGTAACCTGAACCCAGAGACAAGAGGACATGAAAAGATTCAGCTTATGGAGATCCAAATAAAACATCTGCAGATGCAGAGAGTGAACTGGAACATGTTTCTGAAGATGCAGAAAATAAAAGTGAAGAAAATTAATGAAAAACAGTCAAACTACAAAAGAAAGATCAATGAAAACCTGGAGGAAAGTAAACTTGTTCTGGTAAAATGATCATTAATAATATTCAGATGTTTTCTGAGTTTATCTGTGGAGCAAATAAAATATTTAACCTGAAGGAATTGAAATTGTGTCCTGATACGAGCTGAGCAGCAGAACACACTGTGTAACTCTAAAGTAGTAGGAAAGAGAAGCAGCAGAGTTTGATTACTGACAGAGACGTTAGTGATGGACTGCAGATGTTATTTCAAATCAAATCTCTTTGTTTGTATTGGGAGTGAAGGAAAGCTTTAATGAGACAAAACAAACTAGTTGTTATGTTTTATACAGTCTGTAATCTGACTACTGTAAAGAGTAACAAACTACAACAGGTAAAGTAATCTGTAACGTGAAATTCAATAAAAGAAAGGATTAAAAAACAGTATTGTGACAAAGTGAATCGAGCTGCTCCAGCTTCTTAGTGAGACAAAACTTAATTGATGCTGAGCAGGTTCAAGCCTGCAGGTCTGTTTCTGCACATCAAACCAAACATCTACCTTTTATCCTTCATCACTCCTCTTCTTTTTCTTCGCAGGAAATCTAATCTGCAGCTCCATCAGGCAGACCTCCCCTCTGCTCCTCCTCTTCCTCCTCTGCTTTCTCCTGAAAATTTCAGCCTCAGTCTCGATGAGTGTCTTTCACCGAGCACGTCGAGCGACTGAACGGGAGCTGAACAACAACCAATTGCACAGCTTCACATGCCACTTGGTGGTCAGGTGTTGTTACCGTGATGACGGTGAGCCGTGCGTTTAGGATGACGGGAAATTCTTCAGCTCTGACTCGTCAAAATCATGTAGTGAAGGAGATGAAAAGGGCAATCTACAGTAAACCTCCTCGAAACAGGATTGGAGCTGCGGTAAGTCTCTGTATCGAATTACTCACTAACTAGTCAAAGGCCACTAACTTATCATTAAACACTAACAGATCAATATCAGCCAATAACCATCCAGTAATCATAAAATAGTGACACTTGTTTTTTTTCTGACAGCAAAGTTTCTTCGTCATGTCGGTGTTTGCAGCGGCCATGCTAGCTCCTGCGGCGTGGATCCTCCGTCACCTACCAGAGTACCGCCAAAGGGTGCAGCGCAGTCCCAGGACCTGACCCTCATCTTCATCATTATTACCAGACCCTCATCTTCATCAAGCTGACTGTTCTGAAGCTGCTCTCATCTTCCTTGCCACTGTAAACCTATGATGAAGTTTTAAATATCAATAATAAACTTTGATCAGTCTCTGAAATCAATCGCATTTTTATACTGA